AATTAGTTGTGTATCCATGATGCTCATGTGAATTAAACGGGATGCAAATGCATTCTTAATAAATGGTGGTTACATTTAAGCTCATTACATCCTATCTCTAGTGTGTAACATTAATACATTGGTCAGTTCTGGTTATTAGCAATTTAATTTTGTAGTATGACATTTGCATTTTAGTTGCAAGATATTCATTATTTGGACCCAGCATGATAATGACTTCATAAGTATATTATATTCATATGCTAAAACTTGAGTTATATTCTTTTGTTTTGTTTTGTTTTTCGAGACAGGGTTTCTCTGTATTGCTTTGGAGCCTGTCCTGGCACTCACTCTGGAGACCAGGCTGGCCTCAAACTCACAGAGATCCACCTGCCTCTGCCTCCTGGCTGCTGGGATTAAAGGCGTGTGCCACCACCACCTGGTCTAGCTATATTCTTAAAATATGTGTGACTTGGAGCAGGAGAGATGGCTCAGTGGTTGAGACCGTGGCTGCTCTTGTGGAAGACTCTAGTTGGGTTTCCATGTTAGGTCACTCACAACCACCTGTAATTCCAGCCTCCAAGTCATCTCATGCCCTCTTCTGGCCTACAAGGGTACCTGCACTCATGTGGCACACACCGTTAATCCCAGCACTCGGGAGGCAGAAACAGGCAGATTTCTATGAGTTCCAGGCCAGCCAGGGCTACACAGAGAAACCATTAATAAAAGGAAATCTTTTAGTGTTGGTAAGATGGTTCTCAGGTTAATGTGCCTGCTGCCAAGCTGACGACCTGAGTTCTGTTCCCAAGAGTCACACACTGGAGAGAAGAACCAGCTCCTGCAAGCTGCCCTTTGACCCTGTATGTGCATTGTGCCATACACACTGCAGCAGGTATATGCCCCTGCCCCATAAATAAATACATGGAACAAAATTTAGAAATACTTTAAGCATTTTTCGACAGTTTCACTATGTAGACCAGGCTGGCCTCATAGGAGTTTACTTGTCTCTGCCTCCTGAATGCTGGGATTAAAGTTGTAGTTCCACTAACATCTTTTCTTAAAGTGTGTGTGTGTGTGTGTGTTGGGAGAGGCAGTTTTTGTGTGTGTGAACGTAGCCATATATGTATGAAGAGGTTATAGGACAACCTTGGGTTTGAGTCATGACTTTGTTGTTGTTTACTACCACGCTCACTAGGCTAGTCAGCCTGGTAGCTTCTGGGAACTCTCCTGTCTCCACCTTCCCAGCTCCCTGCAGAAGCATTGGGATTACAGGTGCTGGCTGCCACACCTGCCTTCCCATGGCATCTGGAGATTTGAACTCAGGTCCTCACACTTATAGAGCAAGTGTTTTAGCCATCGAGCTGCCTTCCCCGCCCTCTTTAAGCAGTTTTAATGGTCCCTCTCATTCAGACATTCTTTTTACACAATGGACATTTATAGGCGCCAACTCCAGGCCAGGTGCCAAAGCCTTGTGGGGCATGGCACAGTGCCTTTCTCCTGAAGCTCCCAGGTTTTGTAGAGAGCAGGCTTTGGAGCAGCTGGCTATACTCTCCAGTGGGGTGTGGGGTAGACTCATCCTGACAGAGGCTATATCAGAGCTGAGGTGGGGTCTGGCGGAGGGGGGTATGGGCTCACCCTTGAAGGGAGGGTGACTGGTGGTTACATTGTAAGAAAGGCCTCTGGGAGGGTTGGAGGCAGGGAGTGGCGAGGGTGGGAATTCAGGACAGAAGGCTGTCCCTTCCCAGAGTGGGCCCCTAGCCAAGGCCCCTAGGAAGGCTGGCATCTTCCAGGGAGGTGGAGCTTCGGGGTCTCCCAGTGGGCGTGGGCACCGATGGTGACCTCCTTCCATCCCTGCCCTTCTCATCATCTCCCTTTCACTGTGTGCCTGAGGTATTGTTCCTCTTTTGTAAAGAGGGGGATCGGGTAACAAAGCCGGGTGGGTGGGCAGGCAGCCCAAGGGGCCTCTTCTCTTCTCTCTCCAGGCAGCATCTACGCTGAAGGGTAGGCAGTTAGGCAATGTCCCATACTCACGAATACACCTCTGACTTCCCAGGAGCTGGGCTGTTGCCATAGTGACAGGCAGGCCTTGCATCCCACTGGCCGTGAAGTACCCTCCCCACTATGGTTGCCAGAGTAAGGGCCCCTAACTCTTTTGCATCCTGAAGTTGGAGGTAGGGACATACAAAATAGGGCTCCCAGGCCAGGCTCTGTCTCCTCCCTGGCTGTGAGGAAAGGACAACTCCAGAGAGCCCCAGTCATTCTGACAGGTGTTCAGGAGGCAGGGCTAAACCTTGAGATCAGAAATAAATGCACATTGACTCTGGTGCCTGGGGTGGCTGTAGGTGCTCCGAAAAAAAGAAGGGAAAGACGGGCAGAGGGACTATGGGGTGGGGACACTGGGGACCCCAGAGCTGAGCCTTCAGCTCAGTTCAGAAGAGGAGGGGCCTGCCCCTAGGAGGTGATGTTTGAGTCTATTATGATAGATGGAATGAGAGAGGAAAGACATTGAGGAGTTCCTGAAATTAAACAACTCAGCCTGGCAGTGGTGGGCGCACACCTTTAATCCCAGCACTCAGGAGGCAGAGGCAGGAGGATCTCTTCGAGTTCAAGGCAAGTCTGGTCTACAAAGGGAGTTCCAGGACAGCCAGGGCTACTCAGAGAAACCCTGTCTCGAAAGAGCAAAGCAACAACAACAACCAAACCTTAGAGAATGGAGGAGTGAGACTAGGTCCTGGGGTAGGGGCTGGGGGGGGGGGGGGAGAGAGAGGGAGGGGCTTCACCTGAAAGGGCTTCTGAGGACGGCACCCCCAGGGATATTCCTGTCTCCCAGCAGGATGATCACAAGTGTGTATTACACTGCCTGGCTTTGTATATAGATGCTGGGATTCGAACTCAGGTCCTCATGTTTGCCCAGAAAGTTCTTGACTGCCTAAGCCATCCCATGTTTAGGGTCTTGCAGCGGTACCTCTGGGGACTGCCAGGGCTGAGTGTGTTGTACAGGGCTGGCTGCATCTTCCAAAACCCCTCCTCTTCAGTCCTTTCAGAGGTGGAGGGGCTGGGCACATGCCAGTGACAGCATATGTTCTTTGTGGCTGGGGAGCTGCAGCTCAGCCAGCTCTCAGGGAGCTGAGACAGTGGGAAATGACTACCCCATTTTCTCACTGTGGCCATCAGCACTGTCCCATCTCCTTCCTGAATCCCAGCTCTAAATATAGAGGGAGGATATTGGTCAAGCCGGAACACTTTGGCATCTGACTTTCCGTGAGTATGAGTGTGTGTGTGTGTGTGTGTGTGTGTGTGTGTGTGTAAGAGGGAGACAGACAGACCGGCAGACAGGCAACTTCAAGCAGTGAAACAGAACGCCTGCCAGTCCTGATCCCTAGGAGGCTTGTGAGTCTGAGTAAATACTTTCACCTTCAAACTTGTACAGTGGCCACCCGCTTTCCTGTAGGACCATCATGAGGCTGAAAATATCACTATGAAATGCCTGGCTCGGGCAGGAAGTGGTGCATGCCTGTCATCCCAGCACTTGGGTAGTGGAAGCAGGGGGGTGAGAAGTTCAAGGTCAGCCTTTGATGCCAGCTTGGACTACACCGGAAGTAGTCTCAGAAACATATGGGGAGTTGAGATGAGCCAGGGGTTAAGAGTACTGGCTGCTCTTCCAGAGGACCTGGGTTCAATTCCCAGCACCTACCTTACAGTTCCAAAGCACTCTTCTGGCCTCCTAAGTCACCAGGCACACACACACACACAGTACACAGACATACACACAGGCAAAACACCCATACACATAAATAAGAAAATTTGAAAAAAAAAGCAAAGCAAGACAACAACAGCGAAATAAACAAAAGGAGAGCCCAGAGATGGCTCAGCATAAGGGTCATGATGACCTAAGATCAGTGGGCAGGTCCCATATGGTGTTAGGAGAGAACTGAGTCCCCCAAATTGTCCTCATGAGCATGCAGTTTTCTGAGTGTGCAAATCTGTGCTTGCATGTCACACACACACACACACACACTCACACTCACACGGGTGTGTATATGTGTAATTAAATTAATGAAAACCAAACCACCAAAGCTTAATCTGGGCAAGCAGATTAGCTGTTAGTATACTCGTCTAGTATACATGAGGCTCTCTGGGTCATTCACTCCTAGAACAAATGTGGTGGCGACCCTTGGGAGGCAGGAGGATCAGGAGTTCAAAGTGAGCTCGAGGCCAGCGAGACCCTGTCTCATAAACAACACAATCAACAAAAGCACCCTGAAAAGGAGGAGGGGGAAGAAGAGGACAGGGTCCTTGCCTGGGGCTTGGAGACCTTAGGGTGACCCCTTCCACCTGGGAAGAATAGGGCACACCTGACGTAGGGAAGGCGTGCTCCCGGGGGCAGTAGAGTCTGCAAAGGAACGGAAAGGAGAC